AACTGGGTTCATTTTGGCATAAACATGAAGCTCCAAACATCAAGTTTCTACATTTATTAGGTTTCATTGAGATCCATTAATTCTAATCCGTTGGGTTAAATATTTTTTCCCCATTTTAACTTTATAAACTTTAATTCATGTTTGGCTAATTTGTATTACTTCTTTTCTATTTCCCATGGTACTAAATATTTGCTATTACTCAGACTTTGATGGGAAAATTCAGTAATTTCATGAATACATTTCAAATATGGGATCAATTAAATTTATTAAACTGAGTTTGATACTGACCTGAATTTAACTATTCAAATTTATATGATTGGAATCATATTAATCAAAAAGGTATGATGTGTCATATAAGGTTTAGTATTAGGAATTTGAGGTTTCAAAGAGCATAAATAATACAGGCAAAAGTGCCACACTGAGAATTAGAAAGCCATAGGCATGTAACTGGCATCTAGAAGGATAGTTTCAAATAATTTTAGGTTATTCCAGATTTCCTCAGAGAAGCTCAGTAGATCAAAAATACATAAGGTTTTACTTCAGATTTTAAATACGTAAAATATTTTGTGGGAAAATAGTAAATTTTGATTTAGCAAGGCAAATTATTGCCGTATCTTCCCTCATTCTACTAAAAAGCTTAAGTATGTGAAATACTGTAAATTGTACAATATTTACCTTTATGCATGTGGAATTAAAAAAGAAATAGCAGTCATTCCCAACTTCTGCCATTTTCAGCTCTCTTGCTGCTAGTCCAATGTTTTTTTAATATAATAATTGCAGGAATGCAAATATATGAACTATCAGTGTGTAAGGGAAAAAAAGAATTTCTTTTCCACAGTCTTTCAGGCTATCAGTAGTATTCCTTTAAAACTGACCTCCTGTTGACAGTATATTACACAATAGATAATTCTTAAAGAAATTTAAATTAGAAGATACCTTCTCTAGCTTTGCAGAAATGTTGAAAGTGGTTGCTAGTAAGTACACAAACTCAAGCTTCCAGAATTTTCATTATTACCTAATCCATTGTTTGCTCATCATAAATGACCTCACATGTAACTGTAGGCTAGTTTACTTTAGTGAATATTTCTCTTACTCAATTCCAGTGTATTAACCAGAAAAAGCTAGTAAAAATAAAACACTATATTTTATCCTTCAATATTCTGATTGAACATGGAATGTAAACTAGTTAATACTTAGGAAGTATTAAGTATTTCACAAGTAAATAATTATTTTCTAAACTCTTATTTTTATATGATTTGGAAACAAAACTAAAATTTTAAAATAGGTAAATATGCTATCTATATTTCAAGATAATAAATAAAATTATTTAAATATGTACTCACCGCTATCCACTGATTTCGAAAAAAAATCATTCAGATTGTGATATTTAATAGGTACCTGAAAATAAATTGAACTACTTATTCATCTTGTAGCTATATTCCATTTCATTCTTCATCCATCATTCAAGGAGGAACAGCTTCTTCATATAGCGGAAAAGTTCCAGAATGCTTGGCAGATTTTTGAAAATTTGTTGAAAGCAAAGTGAAGTACTCTGATTCCCAGACTGCGACATTTCAATCAGCAGTTGCTGAGGTCTTTCTTCATCTTAGTACCTTTACTAAAAGAACTAGAACCTAGCAAAAATTAATAAAAATATTTATAGTAAGTAATTTAGAAGATACCATAGAGATGACATATTACAGTAGATCAAAATATATTTTATAAATGGCAATGTACTTTTAATTGGAAATTTAAAAGATCAAGAGATATGGATTCCCATTTTGGTTAAGTAAAACAGACTAAGTTAGTATGAACTTTTTGAATTGAATACTTTAGGATAAAAATCTAGGCAATAAGTTAGAATTTAGAAAAGAGTTGTTCACCTATAACTGTAAACAAGAGAAAATAAAAACTACACAGCATTAGAAGTAAATGAAGTAGGGAACAGACCTGACTAAACTCTGGGAAGTATTAGCAATGATACACAGAAAAATCTTACATCTCAATTTTTGTTTTGCCCTACCTTCTAACTCTAGACTAACAATGTACACATCTTAAGCACACAGATTGCTGGAAGAAGTATCTTTAAATGGTCTTTGCCTCCAGATAAACTCCCTCTCCACCTACGAAATTTTAGCTGCATTGGACTATTTTCAAATACTGTTACCAAACACCATTAGTGCATGATTACATTAACATCATGATTAACGCCATTGTGAGAATTCATGTTTTACATAGGGGAAAGGTTGAATAAATGTTTTTACCTCTTGAAGTTAGTTTTGAACAACTATGTCCCATTAGAAACAGCAAAAACACATCAAACCTACATCGGGATTTTTTGTTGTTGTCATTTAAATAGAGCTGTCCATTTTAGTTGTCTTTAGAGTACCTGGAACTCTAATTTCTTCTTTTATTTCAACTCTCTTTTCCTTTTCTTTTTCTTTCTTTCCTTCCTTCCATTCTTTCTTCCTTCTTTCTTTTTTTTTTTTTTTTTTGTTCTTTCTCCCCACCCCTCTTCCTTATTCTGTTCACTTCTTTCCTATTGTGAAATTCATTCTGGTTTTTCAGGGAAAGCTATAACCATACCCATGAGGATTTTTACTCCCTGTAATGAGTTAAAAAAGAGTTATGGGAAGTTTGCCTCCATAGCTTGGGGTAGGCCTTAAAATTGTGTAAGTCTTTTGTGTTGGCCAAGGTACACTTGCAGTGAATCTTTTATCTTTGGTGCACACCAGAACACTAAAACATCAATCAGAGAAAACAGTCTTTCTTCCAGTTTGTGTAATCCTGTGACACCACTTTAAGTACCTGGGCTGATAGTCACTCCTTTCTGGCTCTTCCGACTTAACGGGAATCAGGCAAAGCTGCTGGCTGCTACCTATCTGAGTGGGAGTCCAGGCTGTAACTGAGAATTTGTCCTGTGGCTCTCCCCGCCTTGGACTGCCTGTTTCTGCCAGAGTCTTTACTCCAGGCACTAATGAAATCAAAGCACTGAAAATAAAGAGTACTTCCTAACAAATGGTTAGCTTTGCTGTTACAATTCAAACAGCAAGTGAAATGTTTTGGAAGATGATCTTTTCTCAGAAATGACAGAATGTTGGACCTAAAAGATTCTTTGGCAGTTTGGAAAATGACAGTTGAGGGTTATGAGGGTTATTTGTTGTTTCTTTGAGACTCATGAAACAAGCTGGTTTTTAGGATTCCTCTGGAGGAACAAAAAGACATTGGTATTTAGTTATAAAATGCTAAGTCATTTCTGGTCTCAATATCTCACACCATGTATTTTCTCCCTCTATCCCCAAATTTATTTATTGTATGAAAAAAATCAAAGATAGCAGAAGAGAAAGTAAATACTTTGAAATGGCAAGTCTCTTCTTCCCTCTCTCCCCTCTGAATCCAGCAATCAAAAAACAGTGAATTATTTTGAGGCCTTTTTTATTCTTTGGGAATTCCCTTATACGTAGATGCTTCCAACTGAGATATAGTCGTTCATTTTTCTGAGGGCTAAATCAGGAAAATACTGGGCAGTTTGATACCTGCAGATAAGACAGTTATAGAAATGAGACATGGGCCTTTTCCAAGCACATAAAAGATGGCAGTAGTCAAAATTCCCCTACTGAGGACTACTAGCTTCAATGAGATAAAGGCTACTATTACTAAATACTTAATATTTATTTTATTCAGTCATTGACTATCTTATTACTTACCCTCCAATATTCTTCTTAGCAATAATCAAAACTGTTTTTAGCTTTGCAGTTGATTGACGACAACTACTCAAGCCATTTGGACTCTGTTGGAGCTCATATTTAACTAAGGTAAATGAGATTCCTATGAAAACATTGAGACTGAAGTTGGTTGTTGGTATTCGTGTAGTTTTGGATTGGTCTAAGGCTAAACTTTGCACTCTGGAAAAAAAAAACACATCAGAACCAATTTTGACCACATTATGCCGCACAAAGAGGCGTAATCTAAGCAGTTTTGTTTTGTTTTGCCCCAGGTGTTTTAACTGTAGCGTTTTCTAACTTTTTCCTGGGAAATTAGTTTTCATTCCGTCTTGGGATATCTCTGGATATTTCTAAGCTCCTTGGTGCTTCTTCCCCCAGGAACATATTAAGGGGAATAGGCAGATCGGTTTCATCAGAATGGTGTTAACTCGCCATCTGAAATGATTCGTTACTTATAACTTGATATTATTTATTTTTCATAAATATCATCGGCTGCTAAAACACACACACACCAGAAACGGATCCCTGGTTTTTCACGGACGTCAGAACTGGGGGACGCTCGCGGGAGCGCACACGGAGGTACCTCGGCTTCCGCACTACAACTCCCAGAAGGCGCCGCGACCAGGAGGCCGCTTCCGAGCGTGTGACCCCGCCCCACGCTCGGGACCGGGGGACGCTGAAGTGCTGCGGCCGTGTTCGTGGGCTGAGCGCCGCGATAGATTGCTGTCGACGTCTCCTGACCGGGGTCCGGCGCTGTTCCGGAGCACTCTCTCCACTCCCCTGCCTGCGGACTCATCATGAGGCGCCTGGGCTCTGTGCAGAGGAAAATGCCGTGTGTGTTCGTGACGGAGGTGAAAGAGGAGCCTTCCACCAAAAGGGAGCATCAGGTACCGAGGAGCGCAGGGCTGGCGGGGCGGCCGCGCGTGAGCTCCTCCCCGCGGCGCCGGATGGGTTTGAACCCAGCCGGGCACCCCGGCGCGTTGGAGCCGCTCTGCAGGCCGGGGGTTTCTGCAGGTTTCGCTGGGGCGGTCTAGGGGACGGGCCTCCTACGCCCCGAGCTCCAGGTTCTTGTACCTTCTGAGTTGCAAGGGAGGGAATATGGGACAGAATTTTTCTTACCGGGCGATTCAAACTGGTCATCGCATGGAAATTGAAAAACTGTATCTTAAATAATGTACCTTTCTTCTCACATTACCACCTTTTGAGGAAAACCCCTCAAGAATTCACGTAATCACTGCAAAACAAGCTTTACTACTTTTTACTAGTGTGGTGACAAAGTGGAGATTTTTAGAAGAGTTGCTTCACCTGTTCTAACCTGGGAACCCATGGCAGTGTTGACAGCTAACCTAGTTGGGTCACTGAAGATCAGACCTTGTAATTACCTACTTGATTCTAATTTTGATATTCTCATCTCAAGGTTTTCTATTCTCTCAACACCGTGTTTTACACGTAGAGGGTCCTTAATACATACCGGTGAATGATCCTGTATCAGGATTATTCTTTAATATACGGCAAAGTCCTTGATAGCAGAATCCCATTAGCATCTGGGTACTTCCAGCTCATACAAAATCAGCTTGTGCGTTTGACATCAACCCTCACCTCCCCTTAACATCATTGACACTGGCCTTCATGTCTTCCAGACTAAAAGACCTTTAAGGCCAAGAGTACCCTGTTATCTCTAGTCCCAGTTTCTAGGACCTGACACATGCACTGGATAAATATTGATTGAATTAAAGAAGGAACCCTGGCGTCATTTCATGCCAGTTTTCCCTCTACCTTAACGCTTTTTACCGTATAACAGTAGAAGAGAATCTACTGCCATCACTGTTACAATTCCTTAATATTTTATGCTCTGTTGTTGCACTACCTGTTTACTATATTGCCACCCAGAATGATCGGCATTACATTCTTTCCTGGTCACAACCCCGCAGTTACTACTAAATGTCTGTAGCAGTAGTTGTCAAGCTTTTATTTTAACTCTAACAAACTCAATTCATATGAAACAGTGTCATCCTGAATAGTGCTTCACGCTAGCTGTGCTTCTTAACTTTGTATGTTGGGGATGGAGAGGGAGTAATTGATGATAGCCGCCTCTACCAGGAGAAATAAGCCCCATCTCTTGTCCCTCTGCAGTTAAGAATAGCTTATAGCATTGTTTATAGCGTAGCATCCAATCTTAAGTGTAATTCAAGAATTCCCATGAATTAGTCCCAGTCTTAGAGTGTCTGTTGCGCCCGCCAGGAAGCTCCTGTGCTCATTGCAGCGGAAAATGCAATGTGCGTTTGTCACTGAGGTGCCTACTTAAGTGAAGTCTGTTCTAGCAAAGTCTGTTTCATCCCGTGAACATACCAGACATAGTCGTCTCTCTGTGTTCATGCTCAGGCTACACACTCTGCCTAGAGCACTACCAGAATTTAAAATTCTTCATATCAGACCTTCTCTATGGAATATTGCTCAGCTTAGTTATCCAGTGATTTCCCCTGCCCAGAAATTGTAGAGGACCTGTCATTTCATACTCGCTTTTTAAACACACATGCCTTCTTTTTTCAGTCATAGTTTGAAGTCTCCAGTGACAGGTAGAGAAGAATTTTGTGTACCCTTTGGTATCTTAGGTTGCCCTTTGGACGTGTCAGTAGCAAAGAGGGGTAGATAATTCGTTCTTATGGAAGGGGCATTTGTACTCCTCGGGAACTCCAGAGTAAATTCTCCCTAGAATATTTGATAAACACTACCCGGCCAAACCCTGGTTCTGCCACCACAGGGCAAATTGATATCCTCTGATACCAGTGTTACAAGTTAGTGATGAATCCCCAACCATTCAGTTTTATCTTAAAAGTACTGGATCAGTACCAGAATGGGGCTAATTTCCTAAGTTTGCCTGACTCTGAAATAGTACTTCATTTATTAGTCTTAAGCCTATTACACCAGTATAATGTTTATGTTGTGCAATGTTTTTCACATCATATAAGATGAATGTTACTTCAGATAATTTAGACAGTAAAACACTGGCATAAGTCCTCAAATTAAAATAAATTACAGATAAAAAAATTGGCACGAAGCATAGAAACTGTCTTTTCTTCCATTTCTGGCGCTCTTTTGGCTTGTCTTCCTGACAGTAGAAAAACCACAAATTAAATGCGCAATTTACTACTGATAAATCTAAGAGGGTCCCCGTTTGTTTTTCTCCTTAGCACTTATCGTATCAAACAGGGCACTGTGCATTTTGTCACTGCTGTCTTAAAATGAAAGTTCCACCAAGGGCAGGTACTGTTGTGTTCACCTGTATCCCAGTGCTGAGGACAACTCTTCACCCATAGGAGTCATTTAGCCAATGATTGTCAGGTAAACGACTGAACACACAGAACACTTGAACTAGGGATGCAGCTCTGCGTAGGACATGGTTCCTGGAGTCAAGCTAATTGCAGTGGGTAAAGAAACGTGTGAATACAGTTGGCCCATGAACAATACCAGAAAAACCCTAGTATAACTTGTGGCTTGCCCTCACATTTGAGTTTTCCTCCGTATCCGTGGTTCTGGATCTGGGATTCAACTGTGAATGGTAGTACTGCAGTATTTACTGTTGGAAAAAACGTGCATATACGTGGGTTCAAACGCACAGTTCGACGTGTGTTGTTTAAGAGTCAACTGTAATTACAAACCTGTGCGGGAAAACACGTATTGCTGTGAGAGCATAGAAGGGGAGGGGGTGATTTGTAAGAATTTCACCGAAGTATTTTTTAAATGGTCTCAAAGGTCCCTCAGAACTTGTGAAATTAAGAACGTCCCAGGTGAGAGTGTGTGCAAAGGCATAGAGGCTGTTTATCTTAAACCAGTTTTCTCTCTCTCTTTTTTAAGCCATTTAAAGTTTTGGCAACTGAAACTATAAGTCACAAGGCATTAGATGCAGATATATACAGTGCAATTCCAACAGAAAAAGTGGATGGAACATGTTGTTATGTTACTACCTACAAAGGTAAAATAAAACTATACTACAAATATTATTTTTCTTGATCACTTGAACTATATATATCTGAAATGGAGCATTACTTTTCATAAACCCTTGGAAACCTGAGTATAATAGGAAAATAATAAAGTCACAATTGTTATGTTATACGTATTTATTATCTAGTATCTTTCTCTTGGGGAGGAAAGGAAGATAACTGATGTTTACTTAATACCCATTAAGAACAGACAGTGTGATAAATTCTTTGTACGTATTATCTCTAATTTGCACAATAAGCCTCTCCATTTCACAGAAGTGGAGACCGAAGCTCAGAGAGCATAAATAATTTTTCCAAGTCCATATAGTTAATGAAGGGCTGAACTGGTGATAGGACCTAGCTGTGTCTGACCCTAAAGCTTGTTCTTGTCTCCCCAACCCCAGTGCTGATTCCACTGTTTTTTTATCACTATTGGCAACGTCTCTTATTTATTTCATTTTAATGTACTTTAAAGGAGGTAGAGACTCAGAAGTTGTCAACCATATTAAGGAAAAAATAGCATTAAAAGAGGGTAATAATCTTTGTGATTTTTTTTCTGGATAGTGAAATTACCTCTCAGTTCCAACAAGAGAAATACAACAGTTAAATGCATATTGGACACATTCCTCATATCAAGAAATCTCTTCTGAAATGCATTTTAAAATTTTTAATTGTGCAAAATACACATAACATAAAATTTACCATGTTAACCATTTTTAACTGTATGGTCCAGTGGTATGTAGTTCACATTGTTGTGCTGTCAACACCATCCATCTCCAGAACTCTCTTCATCTTGTAAAACTAAAACTATATCCATTGAACAACTCACCACTCCCCCTTCTTCCAGCCCTTGGCAACCGTCATTCTACTTTGTCTTTAGGATTTTGACTACTGTAGGTACTAAATATAAGTGGAGTCATACAGTATTTGTCTTTTTGTGATTGGCTTACTTCATGTATATATTGTCCTCAAGATTCTTCCATGTTGTAGTGCATATCAGAATTTCCTTTTTAAGGCTGAATAGTATTTCAGTGTGTGTATATACTGCAAGTTTGTATATACCACATACTTGTGTGTATATACCATTCATCCATCAGTGTATACTTGAAATGCTTCCACCTATGGCTGTTGTGAACAATGTTGGTATGAATATGGTATACAGATATCTCTTTGAGTCTCTGCTTTCAGTTCTTTTGGGCCTATATCCAAAAGTGGAATTGCTGGATTATATAGTAATTCTATTTGACTTTTTGAGGAACTGTCATATGTTTTCCATAGCAGCTGCACCATTTACACTCCTACCAAGAGGGCAGAAAGTTTCCAGTTTCTCCACATTCTCACCAACACTTATTTTGTTTTTATTTTAATAGTAGGCATTTTAATGAGTGTGAATACAATGCATTTTTTATGTTTACTTGTAAAAAGAACAAAAGGTCCATTCAACCAGAAATGGTACTGTAATTTTAATCTGGTTCTTTATATTGTTTATTGGTATATCTAATATATAATATAGAATGTCTAAACCAAACTATAATCAATAATTTTTGAAACCCCTGATTTATATATTTGAAGAAATTATAAAGGATTTTTTTAGACTTTTGTATTTATAGTAAGAAACTTCAATGAGCATCACTATACGTAATTATGTATAATGGAGACAGTTAAACAAGATTGGATTGCTAAACTTACAGGACCCCAAATGGCAATGCTTGCAAATCCACAGTTTATTACAGGTGAAGGAAATACAATACAGCAAGGGCATTAAAAGCAAAGATGTACATCACAACCAGAGACTATCTCATAGCAGAGTCTGGTGAGACTGGGTAAAAACTTCTATAGTTCTCCTCCAACTCTTCTCCTGACTTCCTGCCAAATCGTAGCAGGACATACTTTCTCAAATCAGGGAACACCTCAGAAACAGGGAATCTGAAATGGAGTGTCAGCTGGGGATTTTTATATTTTGCTGGTCAGGAAGGCATCTTCCTGCTGAGTAATCGACCTCAACAAGGAGAGCCCTCCAGGAGCCTCACTGAGACCAGGTGCAACTCATTAGACTCACTGTTCTCAATAAAGACTGCTGGCTGGCTCACTGTCCCGGAACATCTCAGATCCGTGACTGCAGAGTGTTAATCAGTGTTCCATGCCTTGACCGGCTGAGAGCCATGTAAAACAACTCAGCCTCACTCCACAGTTTTGGGAATTAACCCTCATAACATATAGCTGTGATGCTTTCAGGGAAGGTGTGAATACAACTTTCTGGTTATGTTTCAATTTAAAATAGAGGTAGCTTCAGTTTCTCATAAATGCTAGTTACTAATAAAGAATGGCTGTGGAATGTCCTTACAAGACTCACGTTTGCTTTTTATCTCATCCCCATCATTCTTGAACCAAAGACTGAAGTCTTACAACATCACGTACTGCTAGGTAGGATGTGTCTGTTACACCGCACATTTTCCCTTGTCTCCTGGGTTGCTTCTTTTAGAAAAGATGAGCCCTACTGTGTATTGAAAACTTTTATACCGAAATGTCTTTCAAGATAAATTTTACTGTTTGCCTTAAACTTTTTTTCCTTTTATTATTTTCTAGGTCAGCCATACCTTTGGGCTCGGCTGGATAGAAAACCTAACAAAGTAGCTGAGAAAAGATTTAAAAATTTTCTACATTCAAAACAAAATTCAAAAGGTTAGTGGATCTTTTTTTTTAAGCTTTTCATGATTTAAGTAAGCTGAAATTTTTTACTTATTTCTTGTTACGGTATTCTATACAGAATGTCCTTTACAATTTAACTACTTTGGGGAAAGAAGAACATTATACTTGAATATTTTTATATGTAAAAGAATATGCTAGAAAAATATTTCAAAATGTTTTAACATTTCTGTGACTCCTCATTATAGTATGTCAATTTTACTAAAATATACGACCTACTGTATATATATTATAATGAGTGACACATTTTGGTTTTGTCTGCCTAAGAGATAAATAGGTAATTTTATAAATCAGGTACAAATATCAAAGGATTATTAATATTTTTAATTATTATATTAAATGCCTCTAAGTATATAAGTAGATATATACATTCATCATTATATATCTACTTATATATAATCTAATCTTTACATATATTTATATTCTTAGTGCATTAATAATTTATCATAAATCTACACATACTGAAATACTGGCTGCTTTAGTTAGACTGTTATCTACTATTACAGATGGGGACAGGTTCAAAATTGAAAATTTAAGGTGTCAGTACTTTCACCCTGAGTAGTCACATTGTGCTAATAATAAATGAAGAATTATATGGTACCTCATATTATAAGTTTCATTAGCTGTTTTTGAATTTCTTCACTAGTTTATATTTTTTAAAGTATTGCCACACATAAGATTATTTGACTCTTTTAGAATTTTTTTGGAATGTTGAGGAGGACTTCAAACCTGTTCCAGAGTGCTGGATACCAGCGAAGGAAATAGAACAATTAAATGGGAATCCGATGCCTGATGAAAATGGACACATTCCTGGTATTATGAAATCGCTTCTAAAATACAGTTTTGTGTTTACTAGTATAAAGAACAAAAGAGCATTCAGTTGCCAAATACAGAATTTAATTTTAATGTGGTTCTTCATGGTACTTATCTATATAGCAAAAAATGTGAGTCTAATTTACAGTTTATACCAACGAAGTTTCATCTCAAGAACATCCTCTCGGGTTTAGAATGTTTCCTAAGATGGATAGGGTACCACCTGTAGTCTGTGAACACGAAAGCATTGAGTGGGACTAGCCCTGACGTGCATGTTGTCAAGATAGGCAGTGTAATTGATCTAGTCTGAAATAGGATATTAAGAAACCGTTATTTTTTAGACTGGGGATAACAGTACGTATATATTTTTTGCGAAGATCCTTGAAGACTTTTGCAGCGAATGGACGTGAAAATAGATGTCTCACGGTAGTTCTTCTGAGGATGGGAAAATGTTGCAAAAGTGTGCTGAGTAGAAAGAGAGCTCAGATTAAGGGTGAGTCCAGCAGGCATGACCAGAGAACCTATAATGTGCAAAGCTCTCTTTCTAGTAATACAACAATGGAGACCAGAGCCCTTATCCTTGATGATCTTTTAGATATTAAGGACAAATCTGCCAATAATAGTATGACTTAAGAACTGAAAGGAAGTAAGATACAGGGTACAGTTGGAGAAAAGAGGAAGAACTCCTACTTCAACCTGTGGTGGTTAGAGGAAGCTTCTGAGGGGAGTGACATTTATACTGAAGTTTAAGAACCAGAACGTTAGTTGGTAAGGAAGGGAGAAGTTCAGCTTCAGCAAACTCTCACAAACGGGAGAGATCATGAGTCTTTTAGAAATTTTAAATAACACTTCATTGTGGCTGTATTGTGTAGGGTGTGTGACATTTGAGGAGGTTATAAAAATTGAGGCTGGAGATATGGAACAGACTCAGATCTTAAAAATATTTGTACTGCATCTAAATTAGTTTGAAGTTTGTACTGAAGATGATTATTAAGCAGAGCTACAGCAGAACTAAATTAAAATTTTTGAAATAGAACTATGATAAAAGTGGGGTGGGTTTCATTGGAGACTAGCAGACCGGCAGAGGTTATTACAGTAATCTGGGTGAATAATGAATGCCAAAGATGTGATGGTCGTAATGGCATATATGCCCTAGTTTGTCTTTTTTTTTTTTTCTTTTTTAAATAAAGAATTCTCCGCAGTGAGGAAGCCTAATCTGACAACAGGAGTTAGGAAGGGAATAACAGTGACATTCAATAAATGTGAAATCAATACATTGTTCAGCAAATATTGGGACAATACAATCAATTGTGAAACCCTTACTACTGCCCTTGAAATTAGAGAGAAGGTGGAGAGAAAATAAAAAAGGTTTTAATGCTGTGTAATGTAGAATGGTGCTCAGTTCTTATTGAAACGGTGAATTTTCTAGTAAAAAAAATTCTAGGTGCTCTGTAGTGAATAGTCAAATAGGTTAATTCCTCAACAGAATCAAGAATGAAATCTTATGATTAAAAAAAAATAGGATTTAAAAAGCAGTGAAACTGTTAACATGTCCACCGATATTCAGTATACTTTTGTGTGATAGAACATCCAGAAAATATGGAAAATTTAGAACAGAAATTAAAATTACCTCAAGTCTCAATCCAAAGAAAAACAATGTAATGAAAAAAAACACTTCTTTCTTTAAATGATAGGTTGGGTACCAGTGGAGAAAAACAACAAACAGTATTGCTGGCATTCTTCGGTAGTTAATTATGAATTTGAAATTGCACTGGTACTGAAGCATCATTCTGATGATCCTGGTCTTTTGGAAATTAGTGCAGTGCCACTGTCAGATCTCTTAGAACAAACACTGGAGCTTATAGGAACCAATATTAATGGAAACCCATATGGTGAGTAAAGCGTTTTTCCTGTTCAGTTACAGTGACTGTCATTTATAGATACAACTTCTAGGTTCAGCTGAAAACAATACACACTAAAGAAATGACTGATAAATTCAACTAATAAATAGCTTTCTAGGATTATAGCTATTTCTAAATTTTATGTCCATGGAGAAATTTTTGCATGACTCATTAATCCAAAAGGTTCATTTGAGCCTCTCATTCTTTACTGTAATAACATTATAGAACCATGTATGAAAGTAATTAATCAAATGTAACTTTTCATTCCTTTTTAAAACTTAGGTGAACTGAGTTGAAAGTCATGATATGTTTTTTCCCCTCCAGTTTAATTGAGATATAATTGACATATAGCACTGTATAAGTTTAAGGTGTACAGCTTTATTTGACTTATATATATCATGAAATGATTATCACAGTAAGTTTAGTGACTATCCATCATGTTATATAGATTCAAAATTAAAGAAATAGAAGAAAAAATTTTTTTCTTGTGATGAGAACTCTTAGGATTTACTCTTAACAACTTTCATATATAACACAGCAGTGCTAATTTATCATGTGCATTATCCCTAGTACTTATTTATCTTTTAACTGGAAGTGTGTACCTTTTGACTGCCTTCATCCAGTTCCCCCTCCCATCACCCCCACTTCTGATAACCGCAAATCTGATCTCTTTTTCCATGGGTATGTTTGTTTTTGAAGTATAATTGACCTATAAAACTTTGTTAGTTCCTATTACACAAAATAGTGATTCAGTATTTCCATGCATTTCAGAATGATCACAGTAAGTCTAGTTATGATCTGTCACCATACAAAGATCCTACGTAGTTATTAACTATCCCCACACTGTATATTTTATATCTGTGACTCATTTATTTTTCAACTGTAAGTTTGTACCTTACTCTCCCTTACCTATTTTTCTTCTCTTTAACACACTTCCCTCTGGCAGAAATTTTTTTGTTCTGTCTATAACTCTTCCTGTTTTGTTATGTTTGTTCATTTGTTTTGTTTTTTAGATTACATATGTAAGTGAAATCATACAGGATTTGTCTTTCTCTGACTTCACTTAGCATAATACCCTTCAGGTCCATCCATGTTGTCGCAAATGGCAAGATTTTATTTTATTTTTTGGTTGAGTAGTATTGCAGTTTGTGTGTGTACACACCACATCTTTATCCATTCATCTGTTGATGGGCACTTAGGTTGCTTTTCATGGCTAGGCAGTTAATTTAGCATTAATTAATGGCTAAGGGAAAATTAAAAAATTGGCAATGAATAGCACATCAGTCATCAGAATATATACCATGATGAACTGAGTACAAGTCCTCAGGGCACTATGGAGTTCATTGTTGACAGGAGAATGAAGACAGACCCACGGGTATTGAAGCTGAGTAGCAAAATACTCTGTAGAGATCAGAAGCAGATAGATTGGCAGGTGAGAAGAAGCTAAAATAGTAATTATACAAGTTACACACACAACATGGCTGCTTGGCAAACACTGAATGTTAGTTGAATGTGGCTGATGATTTAGAGGACGGATTGGTGAACTTTTTCTACAAAAGACCAGACAGTAAACATTTAGGTTTTTTGGGCCATACCTCTGAAACAGGCCACAGACAGTACTTAAATGAATGGGTGTGGCTGTACTCCATTGAAACAATTTAGAAAAACAGGCATCTGGCTGAGTTTGGTCCAGACGCCATAGTTTGTCAGCTCCTAGTGTAGAGCACACAAAGGTGGAATTTACATTGGTAAGTCTGTTTTTATTTGGAGAGAGAAATTTTCTGTCTTTTTGAAACTTTTGTATGGCTAATAGCAAATTTTTACAATTTTAGGGTTAGGAAGCAAGAAGCATCCGTTACATCTTCTTATACCACATGGAGCATTTCAAATAAGAAATCTACCTACCTTGAAGCACAATGATCTGCTGTCCTGGTTTGAAGGTTGCAGAGAGGGTAAAATTGAAGGAATAGTGTGGCACTGCAATGATGGCTGTTTAATTAAGGTAATGGCGGAAAATAGTGGTGTTCTGTCATTTCATATTCTTAAAACAAAGTGGCACTAAAATACTCTCCAAATTGCAGTTAATTCTGATATGCAGTAAAGAAATTTAATTTCTTCATCTCACATGCCACCATCTTTATAAGATAAAGTTGTTTCCCAATGTGTATTCAATCTGTGGGGCTTGATTCTAGATGTGCTTCAGGATTAAAGTGAAGAAAACGTCTGGAGAACTCTGCATACCACATATTTCCTTCTTAGAAATTCGTGTTGAATATAGCATTCTCTGAGACATCCTGTACTAATAACTTACTCAACATTTCTCAAAATTACTTGATTATGGAATTTGTTAGGGGTATCAAGGTGACAGTTAATATGTACTGAATGAATTATTTCACACTTTGTGCCCTTTCTGTCTCCTGGACTTGTGTATGTGATTTTGCACAGGTAGTCATGTGTTCACTGAAGCCAGAAACTTAGATATCGTTTTTAACCTCTCTCTCCATTACTTCATAAATCCAGTTATCAGTTCTAAAAGATTCTCATCTGACTTCTCCAGCCAACTGGCTATTAATTTTAATTCAAGCCAGAATTCACACTTGAACTATTTCATCACTCTCCTAAATGATATCTTTCAGTCTTGTCCTGTCCACTCTTCACAAATGAACAAGAATACTACTTCCCTGCATAAAACTGTTGAGTGACATTAAGATTTTTCATGATCTGGCCCCTGGTTAAATTTCCAGAACTCTCCACACCCATCTCCCAAACACATCCACACTGGATATGTTCTAAATACACTTAACTAATTGCAACCAGAGCAAAAAGCAGTGTTCTGTCACGTAACACCCCCCTTGGTTGTAATGCCTTCTGCCCACATTTTTCAGTTGGCTAGCTTCTGTACTCAGCAGCAGACTCTATTAGTCATTAAATTTTTATGGAGCTCCTGATTATGTTCCTGACATGTTTCCAGGTGCTGGAAACACAGTCAACAAAACAGTGTCTCTGCCTTCATGAAGCTCACACTCTAATGGGGAAGATAGAAGCAATAAACAAATAAATATGTAATATGTCAGGAAGAGAACAGCTATGAAAAAAAAAGAGTAAGATGAAGTGGAGCCTTAAATGGTGCCTGGCAGATGGTAGGCCCTCTGAATACTTGTAAGTGAATGAAGAGAATGTGGGTGGAAGCTAATACCCTTTTTCCTCTTTTCAGGTCCATCGCCACCATCTTGGTTTATGCTGGCCAATCCCAGATACTTATATGAATTCAAAGCCAGTTATTATCAACATGAACCTGAACAAATATGAGTATGCCTTTGATGCTAAGAGTTTATTTAATCATTTTTCAAAAATTGATCATCAGAAATTTAGTAGGCTCAATGACATAATACTCAGCATATAAACTGGAAATGCAATTAAAAATCAGCTTCATTGTTGTTATATTTCAATCTTGAATATTCTGCCATATTTAAAAGGTAAAAATACCTCAAGATTTCTTTTTATTATTCAGTGTTTAATGTTAAAGTAACATGTCTTATAGCATTTGAAAAAATGAATTTCCCAGTTGCAGATATCTACTCAAAATTTTATTTAGAAACAGCAAATGAATTTTAACGTTTGGACTTAAAAATATAAGTAATAATAAGCTCCCCATCTTGTACAAAGGTTGGATTCAGTCCATTATAAATGGATAGTAGTTAAACGAACAATTTTGGATCATTTACTTTCAAAATTAAATAGTTTAAGCTGAATTTAATATTGCTAGATAGTTAACAAAACATATGGCTCAAACTCAACATATATATACATACACATATATAATTTGAGAATCTTAACATATATAAATATGTAAGTATATATAAAACCCATTTTACATGTTAAAATTGTTCAAGTTTACCCTCATACTCTTCTTAATCAAAACATTATGAATGTACAGAAATTCACCACAGCTCATTGCCTGTTTGATAGATGACTTATTCTAAAAGTCTTCAAAAATATACTTTTCTAATATGTTGAAATTTTCATGTAATTTTATTTACTGAAAATTTCAATTTAGGTAAAGGTACAAGGTATTGGAAAGGAAAGCAAGTAGGTCAGAGACCTGCTTGATTTCCAGATGGAATTTCCAGATGGAATTTTAACTTACAAAGTTAATAAATAGTTAAATAAAACTACAGATGTGGCCTTTAATATATAGGGAAATTAATAGGACTTTCCTCCTCTTCTTCAAACTGTTCAGAAGCAGCAACAGGACTAGTTAATTCAACTCCAAACTGTTCAGAAAGTTTTTTTAACTTCTCTTCTAAGAGAATATTTTTTTTCACTTCTTCTTTGTAATTATACTTCAGATCTTCAATTTCTTCAAAAAATGAAGGATCAAAATTTTCCAGTTCTTTTTTCAGCTTTTTTATTTCCTCCTAATAGAAACATACTATCTTTAGAAGTTATATATAAGAAAGAATACATTCTTTAGGTTTAAAGAGATTTAATTATAAACATGAAATCAAAGTAGCCTGAATAGTCAAATATACTTATAAAGGCAGAAGTATTTTCTTAAGATTTTATTAAGTTTCATTGTACAGCATAAGTAACTAGCTTGTAAACTGTCAAATTACTTGTTCTGTAAGTTATGTCCTAGTCTTGGACTAAAATTTATCAGCTCTTAAATTAGGGTGATTTAATCTCCCTCCAAAAGATTATTAGACATTCTTAGTGAGGCAATCAGAAAAACTTTGCTGTGTTATTCACAACATTGAAGTCATTTTGGTTAAGATTTTTTGATTTAGGCTTCATTTGTGTTTTTTTAATAAATATCTAATTTGTAATGAATAACAGTCAATTGTTATAAATATATTTATGATCAGGAAACCTCTAGGATTCTGCCTGGTTAAAAGTTAGGTATCTAGTAAAGAAACAATTTGAGCTTTAACTAAAGACTGTAGAATAGCCAGTGATCATTATTTAATTTTCACATTTATGCTCTTTTTTTCAGTTTACAGATTCTTAAAGAGATAAAGTATATCAAATATCTTTCTTTAAGGGAGCTATTCCTGAAAAAAATTTCAAAAGGAAATAAAGATGTAACCGAAAACTTAGGAAAATATTAAAATAATGAACTATATTTGACAGTTAAAAATAAATTTATTCTTTAAGCCTACTTGTTTTGTCTCAATTTTTTGCTAGTTCTTAATATTTTTAACACAGATGAACATAATAAACTTTGCAATATCAAAGTTAAATGTAAGTATAAAATGTGATCCCAGGAATTTTTAGAACTCATACCCTGAACTCAAAGGTGGTGATCATAAAAATAGTTTTCAACAGCTGCTTTCAACAAACATTCATAATACTATAATAAGATATAACTAAATATTTACCTTCAAATGCTGCTTTTCTAGATCTGAGGCTTTGAGCTGTGTCTCTAAATCTTCGACCTTTTCCTTTAGTTGATCAGGATCTGCCAAAAAAGTTATAAAAATCAGACTTAGCTTTTTCCCACTATGAATAAATTCAAGATACAGGATTTGTTTTAGATAAGGAGGAAACTTATGAGACTAGAGCTTGGAAAATATGGGATTTTATGGTTGAAACACTTTTCAGGCTGTGAATTCTGTATGCTACCTCTGTATCAGGTATTAATATTCCATTTCAGACAGAGGCATATGCTAGGTGTTAGAAGTACAGAGTCAGGTTAATTTTCAGAGAAAAATTCTAGAACCAAGAAAACTTCTTAAGTGCTCAAAGTACAACAAAATAAGCAGACTGTTAGGGAAGAAGCCAAGTGCTCCTGTTACCAGACCACTTTGGCTAATCCATGTAGGTAAATACACATTCATTGGGTAATTACTATGTGAAAAATGTGCTGGGTAGGGTGGATAACAGAAAGGCAAATAAGTCCTGGTGCTCTGGTAGGAAAACATAGAAAGCACAAGGGCTTTAGTTTTACTGGACTTCCCCTGGAGTATCTCTAATTTTATCACGAGAATCAATGGGCAACAGGATTTTTGCTTTCATTGCCATCTTTGCCAAAAATGTATTTCTTTAAACACTATATATAATGTGTTATGTGCTCATACTTTGCAGCCATTGAAGGGTAAAATTTTTTAAATAATGCTAAAGTTTGAGAAAATGGGCAGCAAATACATCTTCATGAATGGGACAGGAAGCATATTCTATTAAGGTGACCTTGGAATGGTCCTCTAATGTAGTGAATGCAGTGTCACCTTGTTGGATTTCATCTAGGAAAGTGTGGATCATAGAACTTACACTTTTCACTGCTCTGTGTATGTCTGCAAAAGCACCACATAGTACTGATTTTGGGTGACAAGTAAATTTTAGTGAGTAGGTGACACTGCAAATAGAGAATCTGCAAATAATTGTTCATTGTGTGTGTATCCACACATATACATATACATTACATATGTGTGTATTATGTGCATACCTATGCACACAGGAACATGGGAGTGATTAGTAATCATTTCTGAATGAGAACGGAAGAGGGTAGAAGAGGGTAAAAGAAAGACTTTGTTTTAACTTTGTAAAAGGAAGCAAAACTAGGCAATGTTCACTTATATGCATGTGGTTTTTAAATTAATAATAAGATGACAATAACATTTAGAAGAAAATGTTCAGAGGGCCTATACTGAGAAACTGGAAGCAATGGACCTAGTATTATATTGCTTAGCATTGTTCTATCATGATTAAATTCAGAACACTCAAGAACAAAAGGAGAAAAACACTAGAATATTGGCTTCTTAATGCTACAAAGAACTCAAAGGGCTCAATGGAGATAGTTTTGTGTGGAGGAAAGAGACAGCTCTAAACCTTAAGTCAGGGATTTGACTTTATAGGAAGACAATAGAAATCTGAACAAAAAAAGCAAACCCTAATTCAAAAACTTGGGTTAGTGAACATGCTATGAGTATGTTGTAAAATGCATTACCCGGCATTGTGCTTTCAGCTCCATTTTGGTCTTTGTTAACTTCTATCTGATGGATTAATTCTTCTTTTTCTTTTTCCAGCTGACTATTAGCCAATCTAGAACACAATGATAATGTGTTAAAACAAAATAAAAACCAGACTTTACTCCACAATATACATGGGCATTTCTTTCACTGTGTGATGTGCAGTGCTCAGAACCTGCTGATATTTATAAAGGTAAACATTTGTCCATTCACTCTCCCTGCTGCAGTGCTGCATCCTCAAACAGATCCTACAGTCAAAATCCTTCATGTTCTTAAAATCTGATCTGATGCATTTTCAAGAGTAGTTTTCCTGTTGGAGGAGTCTCATGAGAATATGCTACACAGAACCTTGGAAGTAAAATTTTTTATCTTCATTGTATTAATGTTTGCTTTTGGAAGCTAAGGTTTAATACAGTCCATGCTTTTGAGAAAGTTTAAGTTGCAAACTTGACACATATATTAGGTTTACCCTTTTTTCAGCATCTATTATATAAAAGAATGATTGGCTTTAGAAGGATGAAATAAGGCTGATAATCCTATTAGGCAGCAAAGTTGAAAAAATCTTAGTCTCTAAATGTGGTAAACCTGGTTATATTAAAAAATAACTTTAAAAAAAGTAGTCATATAAACAAATAATACACCTTAGAACTTGAAGCTCCCGTTGAAGCCCTTGCTCTGTCTCATCACCTTCAGGAACACGTTTGAGGATCTCAATCTTTGGGCACAATGAAAAGAAGGCAAAGTTTGACATGGTGATATGAGGTTTTATAAAGATACATACTTTCAATAAAACATACTTTTAAAAGTTGAGTTTTTCAAAAGCACCTATGAGCACACTTCTGTGGTGTTCTAAGTCACTATGCACCCAACAGTTTTTCACTGAGGAACTACAGCGTGTTGTCTGTAGGCACAGAGGATACAGCAGTGAAAAACAGACAAAATCCCTTCCCGAGAGTTCATGTGGTCCTTACATTTTCAGTGGCGGAAGACAAATGAGCATATGATGTGATGTGATATAACACTTCGAAACAGAGTGAAGAGTTAGTAAGGAAAATAACCCAGGGTAAGAGGACAGAAAGTGATGGAAGGTAGTACAGGGCTTGGCAGAGGGCTCTGAGGAGCCTTCATTTAATAAGCAGAGCCATGAAGCGAGGGAGTGAGTTATGAGAATATCTGGGTAAATGGTAATCTAAACAAGGGAAGCAAGAGCTAGGCCCTGAAGCTTGAATGAGTTTGGTTTGCTCCCAGGACTGAAAGGTCAGTGTGACTAGAACACTGTGAGTGAGGGGAGAAGTAAAGAGGAGGCTAGAGAGGAAACCAGATGCCGGACCATGTAGGGCCTTACTGGCTATGAAAAGAGCTTGAGGAATAATTCTGGGGTAATGGAGAACCCATATTCTAAGGATAGGACTGCTATGATTTGCTTTATGCTTGAAAGGGATTACTTGGCAACTACGTGGAAAATAGGTCAGGGATAGGAAGAAGGTTAAACAAGACAAGAGAGGAAGCAGGGAGACCAGTTAGGAAGTCACTGCAATAGTTCAGGTGTGAGACAATGGCTAAGATCAGACTGGCAGTGCTGGAGGTGCTGCGATGTCAGCAGATTTGGGATATATTTGAAAACAGAGCTGATGTGACTTAATGAAAAAGATGTGAGGTAGGAGTGAAAAGAAAGGAGTCTCATCCAAGGTTTGTGGCTTAAACAAATGGGTGAATGGTGGCACCATTCATTTAGATGGTCCTTCTAGGAGAGGAATCAGTCAAGAGTTCATTTTTACATATGTAAGACGATGCCAAGGAGTGGTTTGAAATATAATGCATTATTTTATCACATAAAGAAAAATCACATTACTTGCCTGTTGCTTAAGGTCTTCGTTGTATTTCTTAACTTTCTGTTCCCTCTCTGTTGCTTGTCTTACAAGCTGTTTAAGATCAGTAAGGCTTTTAGTTTTTTTAGCATTGTCGGTTTCCAGTTCTTTCAACTTGGTTTCATACATTCTGAAAGTATAAAGGAAAATAATGGTGTAGACATGAAAAATAACTTTTTTCATTAATTTAAAAGCCAGTTCAAAGGATCGCACTAAAAATAATATTATACTGTTCCTTCTCATCATATCTTTCCTTACATATTTATTTAGCATTAGGTGACAGCCAGGATAAGTATTCCTATTAACAGACAGGCCAACTAAAATAGAGGATTTAGGTGTTTCCCAAGGTTACAAACAAGAATGGAGTCTGAATTTGACCACTGAAAGTGTATAACTGAATCATTTTGCTGTATATCTGAAACTAACATTGTAAATCAACTATACTTCAATTAAAAAAAACCTCAAAAACATTAAAATTAATACCTTAATACCTTTTTCAGTCATAAAATGAAGAAACAGAAATTAAAATTCAACAGAGTATCAAATTCTCTATTATTGGATATTCTTAGGAATGTACCTAAAGATGACAAACTAAAACACGTGCACGCACGTACACACACACACACACACACACACGAGGTATCCAGGTAGAGCAAAACCAAAAGAACACTGCTGGGAGGGAAAAGAATGTGTAAAAACAGGAGTAAAAAAACTGGTATAATATGGGGGAGAGATGAAGCTTGTAAGAATCTCAATAGATTTGTAACCTTTAAAGAAATGATCAGTAGTTACCAAAAAAAAAAGAAAAGAAAAAGAAAAATCCAGACTCTAAAAGAAATTTTAAAAAACATTGAGCCAAAATGGTTTTACAAGCACATCATACCACATTAAAGTGAGACAATGCTTATAATATTCGAATATTTCCAGAAGAAGGAAAAAGGAACAATTTGGCAACAAAATCAGGTAAGGACAGGACAAGGAAGGAACATTATCTCAATATTA